CCCTGATGGCCCTGCTCTGTGCGTGACAGAGGTGGCTCACACCTCCCATCGACCCTGCCTTGAGTGTGACAGGGGCGCTGCCCCAACCCTTCAATCGGCCCTACCCTGAGCGTTACTGAGGGTGGCATCGCAACCTCCCGATCCGCCCTGCTCTGTGCATGACAGGAGACGGCGCCCCAACTCCCCAATCGGCCCTGCTCTGAGCCTGACCAGGGGCTGCACCTAGGGATTGGGCCTGCCCTCTGCCACCCGGGAGCAGGCCTAAGCCAGCAGGGCATTATCTCCCCAGGGGTCCCAGACTGCGAGAATGCACAGGCCGGGCAGAGGGACGCACCCATCCCCTCCGAGTGCACAAATTTTTGTGCACCGGGCCTATAGTTTTCTATAAATTAAAAATCGCCAACTGTTAACTACTGCATGGGGTTCAGTATAATATATCTGTGTGATCAGAAACCATCCTCTTAACTGTTACACAGGGAAAGTTCCCTTTTCTTGCTTAGGAGCAAAGCACAATGTATTATTTCAGAGCTGTGAGGACCCAGAGTTGTACAAAATTTTATTTTCCCTTTACTAGATAATTATAGTCCTTCATATTTATTTACTTTCCAACTGACAAAGAATTCTCAAATACATTAATGTCTATTTATCCAATAACTATTTACTAAGAGTGTCTGCAAGATTCACAAAACTTGATTCATTCTTTCAATTTTATAGACGTGAAAGTGAGACCAATGTTTTATATAACTTCCCCAAGGTCTCATCACTATTTAATTCTAATTCTACCCAATACCTTCCACATATAATGATGCCTGGATTTTATGCTTACTTTTTTGTTTGTTTGTTTGCTTCCCTGGAATGATTAGTAAAAATAAAGAAAGGTTGGAAAATTCTGAGCAACTCAGTCACACTCAGGTACATAAAATTGAAAGCAGATCCATTTCAAGAAACAGGGTGTTACTTAGAATTTGAGTATCTCAGGTAATGTTGCCCCAGAAGGAGGACACTTTAGGAAATACTTGAGTCATGGATACAGATCACACACACACACACACACACACACACACACACACACACACACACTGCTGATTGCAGAATGTAAGTCACTCCTGACCAAATTTCCATCCTAAAGGAAGAATAGCCAATATGTGGCTCAACTCATAAACACCCATATGCATACACACACACATACAATAATATACCTCTCACCCCCAAACACACTCACAAAGCACATCAACACACCTGCTTCATGATGCACCTGGTGAACACTCAACTCACCACATATACATAACTCAAACACTACACACACTTCACCAAAAACACACAAGACCACAAACAATTCAAACATTTTACAAGACAACCACTCCACAATACATATGCACACCCAGCCTCACTCGCTACAACAAACAGTATACACTCTCCTATTAATGAGAGTGTA